TGTCAAATGCTTTAAATATATCATGAACAATATTAATAATGGCATGGTCAGTTGAATTACCTGGCTGAAATCCAAATTGTTTATTATATAAAATATTATTTGTATTTAAAAAATTCAAAATCCGATTATACATAATTCGCTCTAAGATTTTTGAGAAGCAAGGGAGAACTGAAATTGGTCTGTAATTTTCAGAATTAGAAATATCTCCTGATTTAAAAATAGGTATAACCCTTGCAATTTTAAGTTTCTCAGGATAGACACCTTGTTTTAAAGAGAGATTAAAAATATGTAAGAGAGGGATTGTCAAGTATTTTATTGATTTTTTTATTACATTACTACTAATATTATCAACTGCTACACTTTTGTTTTGTTTTAAAAGATTTACTGCATCTTTAAGTTCATTTTCATTAATTTTATAAATATCCATTTTAGAGGTCTTATTAGGAGTAAGATATGTCTCAAAGTTAACTTCAGTGGTTTCTATTTTTGACGCTAAAGTGGAACCTACGCTTACAAAATATTGATTAAGTGTTTCGGCAATTAAAGATTTATTTGTAATAACTTTATTATCAATTGTTAGATTTATAGGAAGAATATTTCTGTCAGTTTGTTTCGTACCAATTACTTCCTTAATAATGTTCCAAATATTGTGCCGATCATATTTATGTTTAATTAATTGCTCGGTAGTACAACTTCTTGGACTTTTTAACAACTATCTCAAAAATACGTTTATAATTTTTGTAATTGGTTTCATCGTTGAAAGTTTTTTTTCTGAGAAATTTATTATATTGTCGTTGCTTTTTTTTTGACGACTTGATAATTCCCGGAGTTATCCATGGATTTGATAATGTCTTTTTTTTCACACATTTTGTAATTAATGGAAACGCTGTATTATATAGTTGTTGTAATTTATCTAGAAACTTATTGTATGCCTTATTTGTGTGTACAATATCAAGGAGGTCATCCCAGTTTAAATCTGCTAGAAGACTATTAAAATTTTCAATGGATTTTTCATCTATTTGTCGTAAAATTTTTTCAATTTTTTTTGCATAGATATTATCGCATTTTTATGAGATAAGAAATATAGGGAAGTGGTCTGAAATGTCGCATTTAAATATACCCGTTTTTATTTTTGATATATATAATATCGTTGAAAACTTTGTTGGTTACTATTTGGTCTATAACAATTGCGTTTTCTCTAGTTATTCTTGTGGGTTTATTAATTAGAGGAATAAAGCCTTTCTGATAAATGACGTTATAGAAATTATTTATTTTTGTATTTAAATGACGCATGTTCATGTCCAGGTTAAAACCACCTACAAAATAAACGCTTTTATTTTTGCTTAACTTATTTTTAATTATGTTTTTAATATAATTTTCGAATTGTTTTATTGAACCGGAAGGTGGTCTGTATAAAACGTGGATGATAATGTTTTTTGTGGTTTTATTTATGATTTCCACGCACAGTGATTCACAATCATTAGTGGTTGAACACAAATCTTTTTTTAGTTTGTATACTAATAAATACACACAAACCCCCTCCTTTCTTTCCAGATTCTCTAAATTGATGAATCACTTTAAAATTTGGCAGCTGAAAATTTGTATTTGACATAATATATTCATCAGTACACCAACTTTCGCTGAGACTAATAATTTTAAAATTGAATTTAATCTCGCATAAAAATTGTTTAAATGATTCAAAATTTTTTGAAATGCTCCTAATGTTTAAATGCAAAATTGAAGATGAATTTACATCTATTCCTTGCATTATGTTTGCAGATTTAGGGTTATAATATAAAGTATTAATATTTTGAAAAGCTTTATTATTACTATAAAAATTAATATCCGGGTCAGAAGTTTTATCTAGAAGTATCCTATTTTGATTTTGTAATGAATTAAATTCTAAGTTAATTGAATCATTATTATCATTCATAAGAAGGGTGTTTTTTTTTTTAAAAAACTGTTAAAAAAGAATAAAAAATAGGAAAAAAATAATAAATAAAGTAATTAAGCACTCGCTTGCTTTTTCCTAAATTCTCTAACTATAAGTTTATCATATTTTATAATAGAATATTTACCATTTTTTCAATGCATCTTTATTTCTTCTGAGAGTTTTTTTCTTATGATTGTTGTTTCAAAAGAGAAGTCTTCGTTAATGTATATTCCTGTTCATTTAAGCCGATTTGATGAGTTTAAAACTTTTATTTTGTCTTTGTAATGTAGTATTTTAACTACAATTGTTCGAGTTTTACTTTCTTCTTTTTTTTGCAATTCTATGAGCCCTCTTGATATCAATGTTTTTAATGTTTAACACGTTTTCAAATAGGGAGTAACTTTTTTTCGGTTTCATCCCAGGTTTCTTGATCGTTTTCAAGAAGCCCATCGATGCGAAGATTATTTCTTCTGAGTCTATCTTCTACCTGAATTTAAAACTTTTATTTTGTCTTTGTAATGTAGTATTTTAACTACAATTGTTCCAGTTTTACTTTCTTCTTTTTTTCCAATTCTATGAGCCCTCTCGATATCAATGTTTTTAATGTTTAACACGTTTTCAAATAGGGAGTAACTTTTTTTCGGTTTCATCCCAGGTTTCTTGATCGTTTTCAAGAAGCCCATCGATGCGAAGATTATTTCTTCTGAGTCTTCTAGCTGTCGTAATTTATTTTTTTCCTCTTCACCTATACTGTTTTTGTTTTTAATTTTCTTTTCTAAATCACATACTTTTTTATCTTGGATATCCTGAGTAACTGTTAGACTTTCTTCGATATCTTTATTTGTCTTTTCGAGTATTCTTACTCTTTCGGTAATTTCTTTAAGTTTAGTGTTAATCTTTTCGTTTTCTTTTTTTAATGAGTCGCAAATTTGTTTTGATTTATGTATTTCATCAAGTAACTCATTGATTTTATCATTAGTTATTTTTAAGTTACCACTAATAAGCTTCAAAATATCTTTCTGCTGCTTTGAAAACATTTCGTCGGGGTGTAGTGATAAGACAAGTATTGTCTTCTTTTAACTCCGGTCATGTAGATCTTATTTATACTACACGGCATTGTATTCTTTTTTTTTACTGACGAAATAAATAAAAAAAAAAATTAAAAAAAAAACGGCTTTTAATAGCTATTTAAATTGTATTTAGGTGGCTTGAATTGTTCATCAATGTGTGGGTCATGCCATGGAGTGGATTGTTCAAATCCTGTAAACGTAAATGATGAAGAAAAACATTATGATAATGACGCAGATGGAGATTGTTTAGATGAAGAGTTTATATTAAAAAATCAAGAAAAGTTTGAGATAATATAATTATAATGATTTTGTAACATATTGAAATACGTGAAATACGTATTGATTAACGTGTAGTTAAGCTATTGTTCAATATACAATGTAAAATAGTTTAAAGTTTCCGATTTCTTTTTTTAATATTTTTATATAAATAGCATTATCTTCCAAGCAAATTTCTCAAAGACTTGTAAAACCGTGGGTTTACTATGAACAATTACTTTGTATACCTATATGTATAAAACATTTATTGAAAATTCATATCCGAAATGCTACATTTTTGTTTCTTTAATGACAAATTACAAGACACAAAATTTGTTTTTAAAAGTGATAAACAAATTTTCATATTTTAGTTTGGGTGCTGTTTAGGCAGACATCTTGGGTATTATTAACCTTTTTTTTTTACAACAAATATAAAATTATGAAAAATGAGTTGCTCGATATGAAAAACATAATACTTGAAGCAAACATTGTACTTCAACTTCATCAACAAGCTGATATATTAAACATTTCAATTTTAAAGTCGTTTTTGATCGCCATCTTGGATTTTAAAGACTATTTCGTTTTTTTTTTTATAAAACTAAAAAAGTCAGAAATTATTTTCTTGACTTCATAAACGAAAGAGTAGTCACAAGAATCACGTTTCTAAGTGATCTACAAGCTCAGAGATTACAAACTGTATTTTGGATGTCATTTTGGATTTCAGTTAAAACTCCTCTAGATATTTGGCCGATTTTTCTAATATGAATCAGGAGTGCATACAGAACATTTACAGCAAATTAAATATTTATTATATCGGTAATAAATGTTTTTTTACAGTAATAAATATTTGTTAGAACAGTAGGAAGATTTGTGCACACATATCTTTTGGATAAAAAGCCGTGTTGAGTAGGTGTTATTAGATTATTTATGTTACTATCGTTCTCAATAATTCGATCAGACTAGAGATTTTTATTATCTCATAGAAAAAAACATTTTCTTTTATGGGATGGTTATTCATTCAGACAAAGATCGATTATTTTATGAAATCAGTCAAAGTTAATTTAGTACTGCTGAAGATCGTCTTTATCATTTATTAATAATAGTTAAAATAGCTTTATCAAGTGGTACTAAGTGGGACCAAATTTAGTATGATAATGATACCGGAACTTCAATTTTTTTTAATAGTCTCCTGCTTTCTTTTGCTTTTAATACAAAGGATGATAAATGTTTTACTCTGCAGTTTTTTATTGATTGGTGATTGTATAAAGCTGTACAAAATGCTGCGTTAGTTTATATACGGATGTACTAACAATTAAGAACATAATTGTTATTACGTTGAATAATCCTTGTCACGTATAATTGCTTTTAAGCAGTCGTATAATTGAGATGGTATAGCATCAGAAGAATAAAAACTGTAATATGATAAATGTTTATTAATTTAATTTACAATATAAGTAAATTAGTAAATTATAAATAAGTAAATTATAATATATTAAACAAAAACTCAACAAAAAATTTAAAAATAGGTTTAAAGGAAACTTTATATACAACTTGTATTTTAAAATACTATTTAACTCTTTTAAACGCTGTTAACTTGTTTTATTACGCTTAAGTTTTTTTTCATGCCTAAAACAATTTTACGGTTTGGGTTATTACAAATGGGTGGTATTTTGCCGGTAAAACATTTGTAGAAATTTAGGTTGAGTAGTTTTTTAATAAAGTTGGCAACACAAAACTCATAGTTACCTATTTTGCCCCAATCATGTGACTAGATAACAAATTTTTATATTTTAAATTTTAGTTTTCATTACAACTTTTTTGTACTTGCTGAAAATTCATGCAGATAATAAACCCATATGATTTAACTAACATACTAAAAAAATATGATTGTTGAGTTACAAAAATAAAAAAAAAAAAATAAAGATTTTCAAACATTGTCATTTTTTCCGGTCTTAGCCTAAAAATTGTTTTGCAGTGTTATAAAGTTTTTTTTTAGTTATCTTGTTTTAATATCGTAACACATATTAAAATTATTACTAATAGCAACAATTTTTTTTTGTAGAAAAAACAGTTCAAAAACCAAATAAACCAAATGCAGACTTGACCTTTTCCTCAAATTCATCTGCAACCTGTCGGAATGCCTGACGCACACAATCATCTTCTGGAGCGTATAAGTCAAATGAACACGCTATTGACTAAAAAAATTACTTTTTCATTAAAACAATTTAAAAAAAATATATTGCAAATATAAAACAAAAGTTTAACAGAAGTTTTTTTTTCATTAAATTAGTTTTCCATTTATTTCCATTTATTGGTTTTGAAAATTAATTCAAAAAATTCACAAAAAAAGATTTAGAATGTTTTTTATTCTGTTTTGCTTTCGATCAAAAATTAAAAAAAAAAGTTTTAATCATAAAACATTTGTTTTAGGTCAAGAATTTTAACAAAGGATTATGAAGATCGATTTCGATGAAGACGGATTAACAGAAATTATTCTTAACACAAATAATGTTTTTATATATTTCTGGGATTAAAAATGCAACTTTTGACAGATCAATCTTTAAAGCTCATTTTTCAATAATTTCATTTTATTAAATTGAATGTTTTATAATTCAATTATCTTACAAAAGAATATTTTTTTAATTTTAAGTATGACGTCGCATTTCTTCATACTTAAAATAACTCGCCAAAAAAATAATAAGATCAAATATTTGTTTTTATTCTGTTATTTCTTTTTATCACCCAAAGTTCAAATACGAAACAAAGTGTATCTAACAGTTCACACAATTACTGGAACAATGTTAGTTACTCTAATAGTTAGAGAAACAGTTTATCGTTTTAGTTATGCAAAGTGAAACTAACGGTTTATACTATTAGTCTAAAGTCTAATTCAAATTCATCTTGGAATAAGGAATCTAAATTTGATTTTAGACTAATTTGCTCCATTAAATTTTAATATTACTCTTATATCTCTGATATTTTAGAATCAAAAAAACTGGTATAAAGATGCCGCTATATTGTCTATTACATTATCGTTATGACGTTTGATTTTTTTTCCCTCACTATTAAACACTGGACGAAGCATAGCTAAAGTCATTTGCAAGTTTTAATTAAAAGTTTGGTTACAAAAAACATAATTTTAAATAATTTAATATTCACCGCTAATCAATATTTTTGTGTGAAAAAATTATGTGTTGTTTGATACTAGAACCCCGTCTTGCTAGAATATGTGCTGTTTGGTTCTGCAACACAATTGCCTTATCAATTGAACCAAACGTGATTCTAATGTGCTTTTCTAGATAGATTAATTGATCATTGATTGGTCATTGATTTATATTTTATTTAGCTGTTATTTTAATAAAACTTGGAAAAATTAATTATTATAATCATCTTAATTATCCTGCATAAAAAGGTTTTATTTACAAAATTTATTTTTAGCATAGAAACTTGAATATATATTTTATAAAACCTTTATTTTTACTTGTTTTCAAACGGAAACTTAAAGATTGCAATTTTTTTAATTTGTCATACATTTGCTTAACAGCAATAAAACATAAAATCTACTTTATCAATTAATTAGAAAAAGCTGTTTTCATCAAAAAATTTTTAATTTATTAGAAAAGCTGTTTTCATCAAAAAATCTTAAATTAATTAGAAAAAGCTGTTTTTATCAATAAATCTACAGAGAAAATGTTATAAAAATTTAAAAATTCCATTTAAATTTGGGATAAATTGAATGTTTTGCAAAATGTTTTGTTAGTTAAAAAGTGTGTTACAATTAATTATTCACCCTCTGATGTGAAATAGAGATAAAAATTCTGCAACAGCCTGACTGTGGTGGGTCACTATGGAACTATTTATAAAATTTACTTCTGGCTAAGAGGCTGAATGTATAAAAATTAATAAAAAGAAGAAATATTAACACTATTATTATACACAAAAAACGTTTAATATTTTTATGCATGCAGTAAAACAAATGTTTTATAAACTTTTTAACTTTCTACCCCACCTGGTAGCTGCCATAGCTTTCCACCTGGTAGCTGCCATATCAGTCTACCCCACCTGGTTGCTGCCATAACTTTCTACCCCACCTGGTAGATGCCATAAACAAATCTTATAGATATCTGAACAGTTGGATGAATAACCAAAATGTTATTCATAACATTTTGGTTATTCATCCAACTGTTCAAAACATAAAGACCAAAATGTTAACATAAAGACTAAAATGTTAACATAAAGACCAATTAATACCAGCAAAAACAATAATACCTTTAAAGTTAACATAAAATCTTTAATTTTATCAAATTCTTCTCCACTTTTTAATCCATTTTCATCACGAATTGCTTTAAGGTTACCATGCTTGTAGAAATCTAATGCGTAGCTGTTAAGCTTGTAATTTATGTTTTCAGAACCATTTTTCATTAATGGAATTTCATGTACATCTGTGTAAACCTTGAAAATATTAAAGGTAATAAAAAACAATAAAGAAAATGATAATTTACTAATAATTGCAGTGACATAATTAATGACATAATTTAATGGCGCAAAATATTAATTTGTATAACTATTGAAAAAATTATTTTCAATTCAAGTAATTACTTGATAAATTTTGTTGAAAAACTGCATTTTTGTAAAAAATTATTTAAATTAGAAGTAATGGATGAATAATTTTTTATATGAACTGAGAGAAGTTTACTGAATCTTGTAACAGATTTTTATGTTACTCTTGGTGAGTTCGAACAGGGACGCTATATAATAAATTTCAAATATAGTTTAATAAATAAAATTTTGAATATGTGCTATCAAACAAAATATCTGTTCACTTAAGGTAAGTATTATAAAGGTAAGAATTATAAAGTCAACACTTCGATAAAATACATGTTCAATAAAATAATCAAAATATCAGAAAGTTAAAATCAATGTAGTTGACTAAAGACCTAAACTTAAAGTTAAAAGTAAAAAGGAACTTACAGTATACCAGAAGTTTTAAAAAAACAAATAAAGTTAAAGATTGCAAAAATATCAATTACAAATTGAAAATATTAACTAATAACTCAATTATGGAGCATGAGCATGAACATAAACTAGTAAAGAATCAAAATCAAGTACTAAATTCATTTAGTCTCAAACTAAATCAAAGTAAAAACATTTTTACTTTAGTTTGACACACACACACACACACAGATAAAGTATAAATTACACCAGAAATGGATTACATTTTCGAAACCACCGTACCGTGTTCTATTATGACCTAGATTTTGAAAATATTCTGTCGACATCTTTTTAAAAAAAAGGGAGTTTAACAGGCAGGTTGTGATTTTTTGGTGTTTAAAATAGGTAACTTCCAGAAATGGTGCAAACTTCAAATTTTGTAATATTGATACTGGTATCAAATAAGAATGTTTTACAAAAAATTTACAATGATAGGAGCCTGGTAACAATAGTGGGTCCTGAAAAATCAGGACCCACTGTCCCAAATGTGGAAACAAGAATTTTTTTTTGCAGTATCTTAAAAAAGATCAAAATTCATTGGGAAAATTAATTTATCTTTAAAAAAGTTCATATGGTTCATAAATGGCGTCCTATAAACTCTCAAAAAGATGGTAGAGCTTCAGTCTGCCTAATTTGTTTTTTAAAAGAATCAGGAATGACAAAAGTTAAAGAAGGAAGTCTGACATTAAACAGAATACATAAATTCTTTTTAAAATCATTTGATTTGAACAATGAAAACTTTCCTAATGGCATTTGTACTAAATGTAAAAAAGCATTAAAAAGATTTGAAAAAAGAGATTAAAACATTATTCTGAGTAAACCATATGAATTCTCAAAAGTCAAAGTAAGTATTTTTACCAGAAACCAATCATTCTGTGTTTGTGACATTTGTAAAAATGCACGAGTTACAATTACTTCAAGATCAACATCTGAAAATAGAAAAGAATCAACTCGGGAAGAGTAAAGGCATTATCATCTGGAAAAATAAAAATATTTCAAAGTTGTAGGGTTGTCATTAAAAGAGAATTACCCCACCCTTGCTCTCTCACAAAGAGAAGAAAAAATTTAACAGAAGAACTTGACAAAGGTTAAGACCAACCTTTTATTTTTGATTTAATATTTTAAATCTGAAATGAAGAAATTTATATAATATATTTGAAATATAAAAACTGGAAACATGGAAATAAATTTCTTATGATATTATAATACTAAGACGAGGTTTTAAAGTTCAATGCTCAAAAGTATTGAAAAGAAAAGTTGAGGAGGAGGGTAATAAAATCAATGTTACAGCTAAAAGTAAAGCCATTGTCGTTGAACAAATGAAAAGCACTTTAAAAGTACTTTTTTCAATTGAAAAAAATCCTAATTTTGGAAATAAGCAAATTTATAAACACTTCTAGACTTATTAATACATAGAGAGCCAAAGTTCTTTGTATATTTAGAAGCTGGAAGGAAAGAAAAATATTTGAAAAAAATGTTTTTTTAACAAGAGAAATTAAGTGAAGAAGATTTAGATTTATTAAGGTTTTTAAATAATAATTTTAATGTTAAAGAAATGATTTTTGAAAAAGATTGCAGACATTTGGTTGATTGTAAAAACATTAAAGGACTTGTTGAGATAATAATAAAGGAGAGAAAACTGTCAAAAGATTATATTTTAAAGGTGGGCATTGATGTTGAAGGCAAAATTTTAAATGTTTACTAAATAATATAGAAAAAGTGGCAGAATGTAATGTCAAAAAAAAAAAAGTTCAGCTATGAGGAAGGAATAGGTAATAAAAAATATAAAGATGGTGGCGTAAACAAATTGTTTGTTATTGACTTAAAACAGGAAACGTGGCTGTATCTCATTCAAATCTTGAGAAAATTATCACTATTTTAAGGAAAAAAAAATTATTACTATTTTAAGACCACAAAGGTAAAAGCACAGGTGTCCACATTTCAAGTTTTAGAAATTTTTATGGTATGTTACCACTAAGCTATTTTAATGTAAAAAATCATAATAAAAATATGCTGCAAGGTTTTATAGCCATTACAAAAAAAGGGCGACTTTGAAACAACCACTATTGTTCAATGTTCACAGGAAAACAATTGACAAAGTTATTTATAACTAAACCAATGATAATAAAAGGATAAGTCACATAACTAATTTTTAACCTTAAAAAAGTCAGATAATGAAAACAACACAAAAAAAGATTTTAAAAAACAGTTAAAGGAGGAAAGAGATTTTTGTTATTTTTGTTCCAGATCTATGATTGAAAAATCATGTGACAGTCTAACAGAGAGCAAGTCGTATCCATAACTTATAAGGGTTATGATATGACATTTCTCTACACTCAAAACTAGAAGATGACATATGCAATTTGCAGTTGTATGTATCACCTCTCATAGGTGCAATGAAAAACTAATCAATGACTTAAATACAATTGATTTGTAAAATCTTTAATGTAATTTTTAAATATTTAAAAAAAAATCTATTACAAGAGGTCACAATAAAAAAATGCGTAGACAACAAAGGAAAAATATAGTGAACAAACAGAACCATTTACTGCAAGAAATTGCAAATACAAAAAATTTGAACATATTTGAAATCCTCTGTTATAGATATATACAAAATAATGAAAAGCTGTTAAAGTTTGTCATCTACTGTTATTATACTGTTATCAGATAAATAACGCGAGTAATATTAAAAAAACCAAAATTTCTTTTCAATTTTTTAAAATAGCACAATGTTTCATCAAAATTTAATATTTTAAATAAAGTTTAAATTAATTATATTATTAGATAAAAAAAGAGTTACCTGATTTCGTACTTTTGATATGCGATCATATGGAATGTACACATTTTCATCAGAATGACTTGATGTCCCAACAAAATTTGAGCAACATTTATTGTTGAAAGATGATTTCCAAATCAACGATTCAATCGTATTTTCTATAATTTCCATTAGAAAAAAAATTAATTAAAATAATAACAAACGAAAATGTTAATTTTATATATATATATTTTTATTGTTAGTGTGTATATATATATATATATGTGTATATACATGTATATATATAAATATATATATATATATATATATATATATATATATATATATATATATATATATATATATATATATATATATATATATATATATATATATATATATAGTATATATATATATATATATATATATATATATATATATATATATATATATATACATATTTTTTCATAATTTTATTTTATAAATCTTTATTTAAAATTGATTAGCATTACAAATAATGAATGATGAGTGAAAGTTAGTTAAAAACGCATAAAAAAGAACTGATCATTTATGTATTGAAAAAGCAGCGGAGCTGCCAATGTTCTGTGGGAGGTAGAGGTCACTGACACCATCACGAAGAATACATCGGTACTTTTGAATAAAGGATCGCTGATAGGTAGTAGTGATTGCGGTATTTAGAGCAAATGGGAATCTGTTTGGGTTAAAAATTGTATGACTGTATTGCAAATAAATAATTCAATTCTTGAAGAACATTTATGTAAAAAAAAAAAACTTCTCCTCAATGTTTAAAAATAGATTATAAATCATAGACATTCAAATTAAGGCTTTTTGTTTATGATGCAATTGTTATATAAGTGCCAACAAAAACATTCCAATCATCTTAGAAAACTTTTCTCAAAGATTTGCTTTGAAATTTAAATCAGTGCCTTGTCCCAGTACAGTTGATTTAATGGTAAGGGAATTAGGAATAATACCTAACTATAAAGTATCAGAAAAATTATCTAATGAAAATGTTACACTTGGCTTTGATTCCACCATACAAGAGGATATCTATACTATTTCTGTACATTTTACTACGCAATACAAGTGTTTTGTTATGGCTGTTGACTAGTTAACAGGAGGTACTGTTATTGACTACCATCAATGTATAATTAATATGGTGGACCATCTCGGTCTTATTTCAAACAGAGTTTAACAGCATCAAGAAACTTGTAAATGATAAGCAATATTGTTAATACAATTACTGATAGAGTAAAAATAAATCATGCAATTGTTGAATTGTTGAATGAATCTGGGATAAATCATTAAGTGAGCTTAATTCTCATTACATCCTTTAGAAACCATTTCCACTATGTGTTGTTTAACATTAAAAAAATTAAAAAGTGTTTCTAATTAAAACTTTTTGGAAATAATTGCCTTGCAGGTAAAATTATTTTACAAATGAATTATATGAGGTTTATAAATTGAAAAGGTGATCCCAAAAGCTTTTCTTTATTCTTAAAATCTGCAGGCTTTTCACGTGGTTTGATTTCAAGATACCGTGGATATTGTCTGCATATCTTATTTCACTTGGCTGGAGTTTATTTTGCATATCATGAAACTTTCAAAACGTTTTTAGCTAATGGTACAGTTGTGTTGGTTTACAAACAAGTCTTCAGGAAATTTTTCAACTGACATTGCCTTATCAGAACTTCAAGTTTTTATAATTGTGGGTAAATTATTCACTGGTCTTTGGATGAAGAAATTTTATACCTTAGTAGTAAATCAAGTTTATCATCTATATGGAATCAATATAGTTCAAGCTGTTATTAATATTTTTCAAAAAGATACTATTGTCCCATTATATTTGCTAATTTTTTTAGAGAAGAATTAAAAATAATTGCATACTTCTTTCATTAAGAAAAAAACCATTGAATAAAGAAATATATATAATGTAATAATATAAACGTTATTTCAAAATTGAAACAAAAAAAGATCTTACGATTGAAACAAGATCTGCTAGAGTGAATAACATTTATGTAGAGGAGGTTATGACCATGTTAAGTGCTGTCAAAAAATGTTCCCCTAAGGCTATTTTATGCTATATGTCATTTCGATATGAGCACAAAAAAAACAATGTTCTTTTTTTTTTATTTATTTTTTGCTTTTATTGATTCATACAGGGAAACTGAACAGGAATAAATTATAAATTTTGCAATTTCATATGGAAGAAAAAAAAGATAAAGAAATTGTAGTCAGTATGTAGAGTTGCAATTAGAAAAGATAAAAAGAGCAAACCAAATAAGTAAAAAACAAATTTTATGTAGAAAAAAATTAGTGAAAATATGAAAATCATGAAAAAGAAAAAAATTCCTTAAAAAGTGAAAAATCTAGCTAGGCAAATTATATGTGTAGAATTTCCTGAGCTTGATCCATTGACCAATCAAGATATTCTAGATATTTTAAAAGGTAAAGTAATTAATTTTTCACACTTGAAGTAATGATGATACTCGTCATGTATTAATATTTATTTACAATGGAAAAATTGAAAAAAATGAAAAGAACAAATAGCCCTTCGTATGTCATTGCTTACTGGACTAGTGAAACTGATTATAATCTGACAGAAGATTTTGACATTTTAAAATTTGCTTTAGTTGTAGATCTCCTAAGCAAAAATTTGGTATTTGCTAACTAATTGACTGCTAAGTAAAATTATTTTTTAAATAACATTCTTTTTTTTTTTTTTTGTTTAATACTTATACTTTTGTTAATTTTTGTTAGTTGTTATCCTCTGTAAGATCTTAATAAGATTAAAAGCATTAGTTGTAATAAATAATAATATCTTATCTTAAAATTACAGGGATACAATTAGAGACATAAGTTGTCTGAAATAAGTGAGATATTGTCTTATCTTCAGAAAAAAACTACAGGGGGTGTAGCTAAAGGATAATTCACATTTTATATAATGAAGGATAAGGAGGGGATCACTTGTAATAATATTCCTGTTTGTAGTAAAAGTGATGAGGTTTTTTTAGGGAGAGAGAGGATGGAAAGGGAAGGGGTTAGGTATAATGACATCAGCAAGTATAAGTATAAATTTTTTTTTCTGTTTTTCTAGTTATTCAAAATCTAAACTTAACTAGTTATTTAATGCCTAAATTGTTAAGAGTAAAATGAAATAAATTTTTTATTGTTCAGGGAAAAATTATTTTATTGTAGGTTGGGTGGGTTGTGTAGTCTCCTAAATAGTTTTGCTTGATTACATAAGGGGAGGGGAACTAATAATTGATTACCTAATTTGATTACTATCCCCTAAAATAAAAACATACATCAATCTCATTCTAAAAATTAACATATTTTTTTAATATCTTTTTTGACGAAAATTTTAGAACAGATCTCAAATTTATCTCTAAAAGGGTTTAATAGGGTTTTGAAGTTAGACAATTAGAGTTCCTTGTTTTATATAAGCTTTTTTTTCTATGCTCAAAAGACCATGATTTTTAAAACATAATATTTATTTTGTACAGTAGTGTGAACATTTACAACACTCATTGTTTATATAAAAAGTTTTATTTTTTTCAGGATGAAAAACTAAACAACCTGGCGTTCAACAATTGGAGGATAAAAGAAATAAAAATACAATCTTTATCACATTATCTTAGATATAAACATTATTTTAAATATGAGCCATCATTGTTTAGCATTTTTTTTTTTTTTTAAATATTTAAATATACAATCTTCACAAATTTAAAAATTGTTATTATTTTTTACAAAATAAGTCTTTTTTTTATCCATGATTTTTTCCTTCAACTTTATTCTAAATTCTTAAACAGCTGACAATAATAAGACAAAGCTGTATATTAACGGGTAAAATACTTATAAGTAAAATCCCAACCCTTAGATCCTTATTTTTTTCTAGTTGGCAGATCAGGAACTTTCCCCTTGTCCTTAATGCGAAGTATGCTGTTGTTCAGGATACAAAGTTTTTAGTATGACATAAAGTTGATCTAAAACAAACTTTATAATTTTAAAATTAAATAAATTATATATATATATAGTTTTATAATGTAATGATATATATATATATATATATATATATATATATATATATATATATATATATATATATATATATATATATATATATATATATAGTATATATATATATATATATATATATATATATATATATATATATATATATATATATATATATATATATATATATATAGTATATATATATATATATATATATATATATATATATATATATATATATATATATATATATATATATATATATATATATATATATATATAATATATATATATATATATATATAAAATATATATATATATATATGAAATATATAATATATATATATATATATATATATATGAACAAAATATATATATATATATATATATATATATATATATATATATATATATATATATATATATGAACAAAATATATATATATATATATATATATATATATATATATATATATATATATATATATATATATATATATATATATATATATATATATATATATATATATGAACAAAAAAAATATAAAGACCTTCAGGAACTTTAGAATTATTTAAAGAATTGAACTTGATATGTGACAAGGGAAGCTTAACATCTTCACCATATGTTACATTTATATAATTTGATATAGAGTTTAAATACATGTTGTAGACTTTTTTGACTCGCTCATTATACTTTTGGATTTCCTATATAAAGAAATTTGTATTTGAAAAAAGTTAGAAACAGTATTTTTTTTATATTGTTAATATAAATATTTATTTAAATAAATGCATAAAAAATACCTAAAATTAATTATTTTATTTATGTTGAATAAATTGAGTTGAAACAGTATTTAATATATTTTATAGTATTTAACCTTACAAATTTTTAAAATATAATACAATTTTTAAAATATAAATACAATCTGTGTCTACTTAAATATTGTTGTTTTAAAGACCGAAATAAGAATAGCAAAAGCCCAACTTCCAAAAAACTCTTATTCTGGAGTCTACATACTGGAGTGTTCATTTAGAAAATTTTTAAGCAAAAAATTGCTTGATCAAAGTTCTTATTTAAAACTATAAATAGAAGTTTTAATTAACTATAAGAAAAACTTATCTAAGATGTTAGCTTTTAAATATTCATGTTGAATTAATTATAAACTATTATGTACTTTATAATAATAAATATTATATAAACATTTATAATTATATTTATAATTAAAAACATTAAACAAAGCATAACATATATGTTTTTTTTTTAATGCTTTTAAAATTAATTAATTAACTTAAATGATTTATTAAAAAGTGTTATAATATTTTTATAAACAAAAACATTCTTCATAAGTTAGTCAAGAAAATGATTTAATCTCTCATAACATCTTATACTTCTTCAGAGTAAGTTTATTACTTACTATTTACAACTACCATAGGGATAACTGAACGTTATTAATTAGGACCACCATAAAGCTAACTAGAAGTTCTTGATTCATATTTGGGTTGGTTCTTCTTATGATTCTCTTTTATATCTGAAATGAAATTCTTTTTCAATTTTTTTATGCTTAAAAAAATTTATTTATCAGTGTTTTGTTGAACATCAGTGTTTTGTTGAACATCAGTGTTTTGTTGAACATCAGTGTTTTGTTGAACATCAGTGTTTTGTTGAACATCCGTGTTTTCTTGACTCATACATTTTACAATATTTTAAATTACTTTCGAACTATTTGACTCATACATTTTACAATATTTTAAATTACTTTCGAACTATTTTTGAGATCTTTAACATTTTCCTTTACTTTTTAGTAACTAAAATAGTGGCTGCATAGAGCGTTTTTGGAAAATAATTGTTATTAAAAATAAAGCATTCAAACTTGTTTATGGTACTAGCTTAGCTATCAGCATTAAAAAAGGTAAACAAAAAGTTTTTATTTTTATATGATAATTAATTTAGTTTATCTTTTTGTTTTAAATTCTAATCAAGAGATGGTAAAAAACAATTTCCTCAACTTAATATTTACAATACCTACAAACCTCTTTTTATTGTTTTCATCTTCCAATCTACACTTTCCTATTTTCAACATCCAACTTACAAAATCTTACTTTTATTTCTACCTATGTACTTTTACATATAAACTTCTATGTACAACTACCTACTGATAAAATACTACCTCTAACCTCCTACCTTCAAACTCTAACTAACAACCTCCGACCAACAACATTCTACCAACAGCCTACCTACAACCAAATAAATAAAACCTTCTACCTACATTCACATACCCTTATGTTCCTACCTACATTTTCTTACCTAAATCTTTCCATCTAAACTGTTTTATGATAAAGCATGAGATCAAAATAATTGAGAAAATGAAAATCTTTTAAAAAAAAATTAAAATAACTGATTTTTACAATTATTTTTAACTTTTTATTACATTAAGAAATTAAAGTACATAAAAATACTTTTATGTATTATTATTATATTTAAAAATACTTTTAGCTTCAAAAATTTTTTTATTTAAAAAAAATACTAAAAAAAAAGTTTGTCAAAATTTAGCCATTTAATTTTGTCAAAACTTGTGTGTTGAGTTTTTAACATATATATAAGGAGTAGTTTTTTGTAGTGTAAATATTTAGTTTAAATTATATTTATTATAATTATTATATTTTTTAATAATTTTTTTAATTAGATGCATTGTACTTAACAATAATTGCAACAAATAATTATATGGTTTTGAAAATTACTTTATCAAAATAGAAATACAAAAAGAGACAAAATTCTCTTAAATTCTCCAAAATTTTATTTATTTTTATAAACAATTAAATTCAAACTTTGAGTTCCTATTAAGAGGCCACCTAATATATCATTTATATCAATTTTGTTTATATTCATTTGAAAACTTAGATATTCATTTGAAAACTTGCACATATTTCTAAACTATTATACACCTCTCTTGTAAGACCGTAACCGTAGGCTATGCAAATTTACTGTGGTTGCCTTACTTATTTATATTATGAAAATTATGTAAAAAAAAATATATATCAAATTTTTTAACATAACGATTACCATACATTGTTATTGAACATGTACATAGCTATTATTAAATAAATAAATATATTAGTGTTGAGCAACGATTGAACATTTTATTCGCAAATTATTATACGATTTTCTGCAATTAATCACAGAAATACAATAGTTCAACAATGAAATTTTAATTTTCAAGTATTGGATTATGTAAATTTATTCTTTCATTGTATGAACAATAAGATTTGGTTTGCAAAAACTTTAAACAACTTTATCTTTCTTTTTATTAAGTCATTCTCGTGTTTGGAGTTAAACTATGATAAAGCAACCAATATAGCAAACCTTTTCTAAGATGACTTTTTCTAAGCAACCAATATAGCAAACTTTTTCTAAGATGAATTTTTCTAAGATGTTGTTGCTTCCACAGGTTTATTTACAAAAAAACCTTGAATAAGTTAGTGACTGAGATCCACACCTCACCTCTCTCAACTCTGGAGGTTTTTAAATATCAAGGTCTGGATACTTGAGGTTTTTGAATATCGGGTCTACTGTGGTTGCAATCTTTAGATATGCAGTGTTGACATTTTCCTTGTATGTCTCAAAGTTCTAAATGTAGACTTGAATTTGACCACATAGGAGAGGGCATTATCTGAGTTTTTTATTATGCCTAGAACTGAATTATATCTGGTTGGAATGTCTTGTATAAGCAACTCTCTCTTTTACCAAGCTAATTTTTTTTCTGATTTTGCAGCACTTGCTGGACTGCGTTTAAATAGCCCACAACCTTACTGTATTTGGCCAGGGCAAATTCAAATACTGTTGCACATAGTAACTGCGACAGAATGCTGGAAACTGTGTGCTTAAAACGCAGATATCTTGCAGCAGAGACTATAATTCTTGCACTATCTGCGCTAAGTGTGCTGAATTTGTTTGAAATGTCCTACTGCTGTGCAACATGAATAAAATGTTCTAGGTACATTTTAGCAAAAAGTCTTTCTTGTGTCTTTATTAGTGTAAGAGTATGTGAATGCAGTTTCCATTGTTTATCAATGTACTGCTCAGTAACTTAAAAATATTATTGTTACCCAGCTATTACCGGTAGTTGCTGTTGAGGGCAACAGTTTGTGCAGTTACCCGTTGCAATCCTAATAAAATTCAGACTAACATCTTCAAAAATGGGGCTGCAGTTTGAAGCTACCCACTTTGAAATGGCATTTCTTATCTAGCCTTTCTTTTGTTTCTCTATAGCTTTCCCATGTGGTTTAAAATAAAAATGAATTTTATAATCTTTTCTTTTCCATTTTTATAATCTTTCTTTTAAATTACAACTCTTCATCAAACTTATTGATTTATTGTCATTTGAACATAAGCAATAATTCATAATTCAAACTTAAAAAAAAAAAAAATTAAGACATTGATAAATTTATGATTGAATTATTATTAAAAATTATAATTCAATTATTTATAAATATTGATTGATTTATTATTACATAATTTTTAACATAAAACAAAATAATTTTTTTAATATTTTAATAATAATATAAATTAATATAACAACAATATTTTGCAGCAATAGGCAAAAAATATATAATGAGAAATGAAAACTTTTGCAGACAAAGGAAAAATTAAATAAATGTTGCCAACTAAAGAAATCTTGCAAAAAAAAAAATCAAAAGACAAAAACTCATGGCAAACTCATTGTGAAGACTAAAATTAAGGATTTGACAATAAGTATAATTCAATAAATTAAAATAAATTAATTCCTTATTTGATATTTTATTACCGTGATGAATATATCAGGAAGCTTTTTTAATATAAGAACACTTGTACTTCTTTTCTTTTTCTCAAGTGCTGGATGAACTTCAGTATTGGTAAAAAAGTAGCATAAAACTGCAATGAGATCCTCTATAAACTGAGCTGTGTATAAACCATTTTTAAGTCTGGTGGCATCATAACAAAACTGATGAAAGATTCCAGAATTTAATAAAGAAACAAAAACAAAATTGCATGGTTCATGATAATACAAATGTGAAGCTAATCCTGCTAAGCCTAGTGGTGTCCCATCACTTTTCAACAACCCCTAGATTAAGTTAAATTTAAACCAAAGTTAAAAAACAAAATGTTGAAAGGACAAAAATTAAAAGTAACAATAAAAAATAAAATAAAATAAAAACCATATTCTATCATATTATAATAAAAATATTAGACATGTTATAAAAAAAGTTATTTTAAATATTACAATATTTTAGAACCAACCTCTCTAATTAGAAATTGAACGCTAAACAAAAAAAAATGCTTGAACTGATTATCTAGCTCAGGATATTCTTTTAACAATAATGGATATTTTAACAGCGCCAACATCCTAAATAAATTTTAAAATAACTCATCTATAATTTGTATAAATGTGCTAAATTTTATAAGTTGAGTTAATTATTTTATTAAGAAATTTCTTATATCAAATCCTGAGTCAAATAACATACTGTCAGAAAAAACGTTTTTTGATCTTCTTGCTCTATGGCTTACTTGTTGACTGCTGTGACTGAAAGATATTATTGAGCATTAGAGGCAGAGAGACTAGGGCTACTGTTCTTGACATATCTAAAGCTTTTAAAAAAGCTTGACATATTGGTCTTCTTGATAAGCTTGCTTCATTTTGTCTGGGAAAGTTTTTGATATTTATTAAAGTCATCACTCTTCTTCATTTCCATTAACTTCTAAGGTACCTCAAGGTTCTATTCTTGGTCCTGTTTTGTTTCTTATATAAATTAATGATCTTCTCAATAACGTCTAAAGTAGTCTTTTTGCTGTCTCGAAAAGTCTTTCCTTTTCAATTGCTAAGAAAAGGAAGCCAATCTTGAATCTGATCTCACTTTATGAGATTAGGGTTTAAAGTGGCCTGTAAAATTTAACTTCAATATAACTCAGTTATTTACTTCTAAACTTTCATGGAAACCATATATACGCTTGATTACTAAATAAGCATCTGCTAAAGTTGCTTCTCTTTATCATGCTTGTCATTTTCACACGCCTGATTCCACTTTCTACCTCTACAAATTCTATCAAACATTGCCTTACTTTGTAACTCTATTCTTGTTTTTTCCTAGTAACTTCCAACTTTATAGTTGTTGCTGCAGTCTTAAATCAAAATTAAAAAGAAAATAAAAAAATAAAAAATTCATTTTTTAAACTAAAAAAGGATTATTCCCTTTAATTTTTAGCTGCACAAATTTTAATGTTAAATTTTGCCTGCTGGAAAATTGATAATTCTGATTTTTAAAAAATCAGCAAAATACTCTGATCACACTACAACTATTGTCAATCAGTCTTCTCACTATTATTATCAAGGTCTTTAAGTTTTTAATCAGTAAACTTTAAACATCCCAGTTTGAGTCTAATAATTTACCCTCTGACATTAAATACAGTTTTTTGATTTTTGTTTTCTTTTGTACAGTTTCTGATATTTGTACAGTTAAACTTAAAGATTTACTAACTTCTGTGATTGAAAGGGTCTATCATGCATTAGATAGAGACAATAGATCAAGGTCTATTGATCTTAAAATATCATAAGCAATCATAAAACTTGTTTTACTGGTCTTCTCCATAAGCTTGCTTTAAATGGTGTATCTGAGAATGCTTTGAGATTATTCAATTGTTTCTTTTTAACTGTAGTAACAAAATCATCCTTGAAGGCCAACACTCTTAACTTCCATTAACTTTTGGGGTACAAGCTGTTGTACCCCAGAAGTCCTGTGTTATTTCTACATTACTGATCTCCCTAATAGTCTTACAGTGATTGTTTTAGATGACAACTTAACTTTAATTTGATTGCTTAAAACAGACAGCTAATCTTGAACCTGATTGCTCATCTGCAACAGCATGGGGCTTGCAGTAAATTTTAAACATTAACTCAAAACAAAACTCAATTATCTACTACAAACATCATATGGTTGTTGGTATTCTTTTATTAATGAATAGCAAACCTCTCACTGAGTCATTGTCTTTACGCCTTCTTCAATTTTCATTTATTACTGACCTCTCATCAAAACCATATCTTACTTCTGATTCCATTATCTCCATCTCTGTATGTAATACATTATCATGTTTGGAATGGTTCATTTATTGTCTAATAAACAAGGTCCTACATTAATACAACTTTATTTTTTCTTTAATTTATTCCTGTTAGCTAGTTTAAGTCATTAATATTTATATTGAACAACAGTTGAGACAGCATGTGGAGCCATTTTTTTGAACAACAGTGGACATAGAACACTGATGCTAAAAGAAAATGATTACAATAAAACACTGGACCATAAAAATTGAGCTGTTAGACCAAAGATAACGCAAGATACAGATACTCAGACCAAAGGTACATGCAAGATAAAGAAATAGTTTTAGAAAGCTTCCGAAATCTCTATTTAGGAAACTTTTTTAATTATCTTTTATATCAAATTTCCTTCCAATATTTTCTAATGTCAATACATGCAAACTGTGATACATGCAAACTGTGACACATGCAAACTGTGACACATGCAAACTGTGACACATGCAAACTGTGACAAATAAAAAGTTAAAGATCTTTCATACTAAAAACAGACATAAAAATTCCTTAAATCTGAATTAATTAGGATTTAGAAGACAAAGCTGTTCTATAATCAAAAGAAAAAATTATAGCAAGAGCAACTGAATTATAGCAAGAGCAACTGACTAGCGAAACAAGAAATGTCCTATTTTTATCAACAGGAGAAATATCAGTGTGCAACACCAATAGAAATGCACTCAAGGGAAAACATAGATAAATGATTAAGTATTAAAATTATTATTGGTACCATAAAGTTTCTAGCTAAAGTTCAAAATAGTCAGATGCTTTTCTACTAATCATCTGTTTCATAATAAAATTTATCAGGAATAACATATTCATGTTATTCCTGATAAAATTTCAGGTAATTTACAGTTCTTTTATTTTGTTTTATTAAAGTATTCATTTTATTTATTTATTTATTTGTTTAATTGCTGCGGTGAGCAAATGCTCACTGAGTGGTAATCCACTTTAGCTGCAAGTTTAAAAACTGCAATTTGAAACTTTATTTCACATAATATAGTTCATCAAGACTTTTTTTAAAGTTTAACACTGACTTATTAAGTTCAACATCAAACGGCAAATTGTTCTAAATTGGAAAAATACAATTGGAATCTATGATTGTGGATATAGTTACAAACACTTCCAACTGGTCCATTTGGTAGACAAAAGTTCCTTTTGGAAGATACTGTATTTAGCTGATAAGAATTAAGACACTCAAAAATGTTAATTAAATCGCTTCTTTCTCTTCTTATAGATAAGGTTGTTCAATTGTCTATTTATTCTTTCCTCATAAAGAAGCTCTGAATATCCTGCAGTCTTGTTGCTCTATGTCGATAAGAATATCTTTTTTTAAAAAATGGACTCCAAATAGAAGAGGCATATTCTAGATGAGGGCATACAAGCGAAATATATAGCAATTTAAGTATATCAGCATTTAAAAATGAAAACGTTTGTCAGATAAGACCTAAAATTCTATTTGCTTTAAAAACACACGCAGGTATATGATGACCATATTTCAGATTGTTTTTAAACATGATACCAAGATCATTTACACAGTCCACAGTACTCAGTTGATAATCATAAATATAATATTTATTGATATTTTTATTTAATTTATTATTTTTATTGATATGCATTATTTTACATTTTTCTATATTTAGTAGCATACTTCAGTCATTGCACCAGTTGAAAATAGTTTATGTCAGCCTGTAGATCATTACTACTGTCATCACGAATTATGTGAAAAACTTTGCAACCATCAGCATAAAGCTTACATTTATTTTTTTAGTTTTAGTTTATCCATAAGGTCATTAATATGAATTAAAAACAAAATTGGTCCCAGAACAGATCCTTGTGGAACACCACTTAAAACATTAAGCCATGTAGAAGCAATGTCTTCAAGAAAAACTCTTTGTCTTCAATTTGATGATTAAAGACTCAATCCATTTATAAATGAATTCCTTTATACCGTACATTTCAATTTTTTAATAAAAGTTTTCTATGTTGAACTTTGTCAAATGCTTAAGAAAAGTCAGTAAAAAGAATCTCAATAGGATAATCTTGATCTACTGCTAGAGTTACAATATCTTGGCTTTCAAGTAAATTTGTAAAGGAAGATTTACCAGGTAAAAAATCATGCTTATTCTTGTTTATCAAATTATTGTCTAAAAATTGAAAATATGTGTTTAACAAATTTGTAATATCTAAAACGTGGCAATTCCTTCTTTATACTTTTGTTTGCTGTTCACGTATGCATAAAATCTCTTAGGATCTGATTTAGAACTTTTAACTAAGTCAAGTTCAAATTGTTTCAAAGCTAAACCTAATAGAATGTTAAGTCTTAGTTTTAACAACTTTATATTTTGCTAATATTTTATATATAAAATCATTTATATTATATATTAAATTATTTTTTTCATTTTTTGTTTGGTTTTTTTATTTACCTCTCTAAAGCTGAGGGGACAACTACAGTCAAGAAGGCTATACTTTATTTTTTTATTATTTTTTATTTTTGTTTGCTACTCTCTCTCCCTCAACTCTTCAACTCCAAAACACAAATCTAGACAAACAAATTAAGTGCAGAGGAGCAAGTTAAGTGCTACCAGGAAAATAGTGAGGATATAACTCAAAACTTTTTTCTTACAACGCAAGTGCTCGACCACTACCCCACCACCACATTAACATGGTTAACTAAATTAAACATGGCGCAATTGTGATTATGTGATATGTGACATACACTAGCAGATCCAAAGACAGAATCAATGATAGGTGAAAAGCTACATTTATAGTTTTATTAAAAAGTCACAAAAGACCCTAAATAGTTTTTTTGCTAAATTTTAAAATTAATAACCTTTCTACTTTTATGACCAAAAGGTTAGCATAAAGATTCCCTTTTATTAAAAATGATTAAAATTTTATAATACAATGCAAAATATGTTTTAAAACATTGAACATTGTGTTAAATTTCCAACATTTATGACTAGACTACATAGAAAATGCAGCTTTAGCAGCCTTATGAGCATCTAATTTTTATCTTGATTTTAAGTAATTTTAACAGACAACTTATCTGCCTATGTGGTTGTTTGCTTAAGTGAGTGACAATGAATATTTTGAAATTTATTGAAGCTCAACTATTTTGAATGATGACACTGTGCTAAACACATTAGTTTTCTCCTTTATCATATCAAATGACAAATCATTAAAACATATTTTGATAAACCTTGTACAAGTTAGATAAGCATTAGACAAGGGTAAGGCATTAAATTTAGATAAAATATTAAATGCTAGTGATCAGAGTAACTGGTCGACTGAAGATTTACTGAAGTTAATAATAAAGATTTATGAATTTTTGACAAGACAATAACAATCCATAAAGACATTTGCTATACCTCACGAACAAATGGGAATTTGAATCACAAAAAGTCAATCAGAAATTGCAAAAAAGTAAAAAAAAAAAATGATATCATGTTTGAAAAAGAATTTGTGGTCAGATAAGTCAAAATACTATCTCATCTCATTGGATGAAGTCCAGAAAGTGTAGCAAAAAAAAAGTAGAAAATTGTAAATTGATTTATTTGCAAGGAAGTGTAAAGTATGGAAGAAGAAATGTGATGGTTTGGGATAGTATGAGTTGGAAAGGAAGGGGGAAGCTTACATTTATTGATGACAAAATAAATGCTTCAATGTATTGTAAAATTCTCAAAGCCAACTTGCAACTGTCTACTTAAAAATTGTGAATGGGAAAACATTTCAATTTCCAGCAAGATAATGTATGTATGTATGTATGTATGTATGTATGTATGTATGTATGTATGTATGTATGTATGTATGTAGGTATATAAAACTTCAATAATTATCATATTAATTAATCTTCATTTTGTACCTCATGATAGTATTTTCATTAGCTTTTTTGTCAACTTGACCATTAACACAAATGAACAGACGCAAACATAAGGACACAGTCATAGGGAAATTTCCTAAGAGTTCAGGTAAATTTCCAGAAACTAAATTTGATACTTTTGCCGCAGAAAATCCATGAAACACAACATTTCCTACTATATCAAAACCTCTACGGCCAGCACGACCAGACATTTGCCGAAACATCAATGGATCCAAATAAACACTATCGCCAGAAATTACAACTGTTTTACATGGTACATGAATACCAAGTGCAAGTGTTGAAGTAGCAACAACAATGTTCAAAAATTTTTTTCTATACAATATCTCAACAGTTGTTCTTAATTTATTATTCATACCAGCATGGTGCATAGCAACCCCATAGCGTATTCCTTTCATAAACTCCACTGGAGCAGCCTTAGCTACTCTATTATACAAGTAAGTTAAATCTTCTTTCATAAATATTCCTTTACCTGCAAAAAAAAAAAAAAAAAAAATTATATATATATATATATATATATATATATATATATATATACATATATATATATATATATATATATATATATATATATATATATATATATATATATATATATATATATATATATATATATATATATATATATATATATATATATATATATATATATATATATATATATATGTATATATGTATATATATATATATATATATATATATATACATATATATATATATATATATATATATATGAATATATATATATATATATATATATATATATATATATATATATATATATATATATATATATATATATATATATATATATATATATATATATATATATATATATATAAAACAATACAGGAAAAAAAAAATTCTTTACTACTAAGAAAATATATATCCTTTATAATAAAAAACAAACTCGAAGCAAAAATTTCCTTTTGTTACGCTCATAATTGCGCTTGAAATAAATTACTTCAAAAGCTATAATTTGAAACGTTTTATTTTAAAATAAAATGTTTCAAATAATAGGTTTATATTATATATATAAATATGAATATATTTTAAAGTTATGCAAAACTATTTTACAAATTACTTCTAACAATTGTTAAATAAATGAACAATATTTAGATTACTGTAAATGAACTAATAATTTAATAAATTTAATTTAAACTTATTTAGGTGAAATTAAATTATTAAAAAGAAAAAAATATGTTTTAAATTGTATAAACATTTTTTTCAGAATACTATTTTAAAACTTTTTAGCTTAAAAATTGAAAGACTATAAAATAGACTATGCTTGAAGAAAAAAAAAGTTAAAAAAAAAAATTACTGAACTGAAGAAGTCTATAGAATTTATTAGTGATAAATATGAAAATATTCTTATAGAATTAGCTGAAAGTAAAAAATTTATGTCGACAAGAAAATGATAGTGACAAAAAATTAGATAATTTAGTCGAGCTCAAACATCGGAGTAGGAGAAATTACTTAAGATTTTCTGGCATAAAAAAAGTAACAATAAATCCTGAAAAGAAAGCGAAAACAAAATACAAGAACTTATTAAATCTAAACTTGGTGTAAAACATGAAGTCACTATTGAAAGAACCTATTGAGTTGGGAAAAAAGAAAAACATAAAGATCCCTTGTAGTTAAATTTCTAAATTTAAAAAATTAAAAATAAATGTTAAAAAATTAAACCAAGCTAAAATTGAAGAACTATATTAACGAAGTGAATCTATATTAATGAAGACTTCAGCAAACAGACAAATGGACAAGACAAAAACTGATTTTAGAGGCAAAAAGGTTACGGTCTAAGGGTACGTTTGCCAAAGTTGTCTACAACAAACTATATACACATGATTTTTAAATATATATACACGGTTTTTAAGTAAGTAATACTCAAATAATCATAATTTTAAAAAATTATTCAACTTTTTACCAAACTTGTAATAATAACTTGAATGTAGGATCCAGACTGAAATTAATTTAACGAACTTTAAAATTAATTTAACATATCTGAATTTGAATGCATATAAATATACCCTAATGAAACCAAAAAAATTTTAAAACTTAATGAGAATAATAATGATTATTTGAATGTAATCCATATAAACATAAGGAGTTTAAAAAAAAGTTATGAAAAATTCTGAAATATTACTTGTGAATCTGATGTCATTTAACTTAATTTGTGTAACTATAACTTGGTGTTCATCTTCTGATTTTGAAAATGACTCAAATCTCCAACTACCTGGTTTTAATCTAATTATTTTAGAGCGAAGCAAAAATAATTGTGGAGGAGTTCTTTTTTTGAAAAAATAATCTTTTGCATAATATTCAATGTGATATGAGTATTTCTGATGTAAATAATGAGATTTTAACAATCAAACTGATCATCAAGAAATCAAAAAACCTGTTAATAAGCTGTTGTTACAGGCAACCAACTGGTAAAACTTTTGCAATTTTTTATAAAAAAATATACTAGAGAAAACTAATCTAGAAAAGAAAATAAGTTAAGAAAAGAAAATAAGATTATTGGAGATTTCAACCTAAACTGTTTTGATTACTACAAAAATGAAAACATTAAAACTTTCTACAACATATTCGAAATGGGAACAATACCGATAATAAACCGACTGACTAGAATTATAAATTTCTCATTGTCATTAACTGACAATATCTTTACTAATAATTTTTTCAATATATCACTAAAAAAGGGAATAATTAAAACTGATGTTTCCAACCATTTTTCTTTATTTTTCTTAATAAGCATAGATTCTAAATGATTGATCAAAGAAAAAATAACAATAAAAAAGCAATAAACAATAATAAAAACTTAATCTCATTAAAAGAACAGCTTTCACTTTTATAGACTGAAACCATATAAATTTTGATTCTAATATAAACACTATCTACAACATCTTTTTTAAAATATTCTATAAAGTTTATGACATTGACAAATTTTCCATTGTGTGAAATAATTCTAAAAACAAAAGACATATTATCTCCCCGGATTTCTTAAGGCCTTAAAAAGTCTTCAAAAATCAAGCAAAAACTGTAAGTTAAATACTTAAAACATAAAATTAATATTAAACCTACAAAAGCTTATTCAAAAAACTTTGCAAAAATGCTCAAAAAAAAAATACTAGTCTGACTTACTCAACACCCACCAACATGATTCAAAGCGCGAATGACAAATAATAAAAGAAATTACAGGGAAAATAAAAAAAATATATAACCTCGCTGGGGGTCGTTTTTGTTAAAAAATTTGTGCGCTTTTGCTAATTTAAGGTGCTTTTTATTTTAGCAAAACCTAGCTGTAAAATTTGGCAGATTTTGAGACCCAAATGACACATATTTTAGGGGGGGGGCTCCAACCCATTAGCCATGGAACTGCTAAAACCTGTTTTTTGTTGACTCAAAAAAATAGGTTGCCTGAAATATGGTTTACTCAGGGCCAGTATATAAGAGGTGGCATGTGTGCATAGGTGCCTGCAGGATTTTTTGATGTTCTAGATATAGAACATCAAAAAAGTATAGTAAAATTTAAAATTTACTATCTATAACTGTTTAAATTTATCAACAGATTTTTAATTTCGTAGAAAAATATTGTAAATGACAAAAAAATTGACCATACCAAATGAAAGAAAAATACACCCCCCCCCCATTTCTTTCTTCTTTTAGGGATTTTTTGCTCCAAGGCCTTCCCTTTTAAATTTTTTGCAAGGCTCCTCAATTGGCATAGGTATAAACATACTTATGTTTGGAATTTGCACAATGTGTGAAAACGTCCTATCTGGAACATCAAAAAAACTGCAGGCACCTATGCATGTGGGTGTAGACCCGCAAGCCTGCTAAGCCGCAATTAGCTGCTAGTCGTTGCCAAGCACTGCTTTATTTTTAGCCAGCTGTGAAAAATGCCTTCGCCAGCCATAAAATTAAGTAGCCATACCCAACTGTTACAGTCATAGGTTAGTTAATTAATTTTAATCTTTAAATTAGTTTATGTCCAATTTTAGGCATATAATTTTATCATATTGCCTACCAATTGTTTTGCAATAATGTATTTAGTTTAATCATGAAATTCTATGCTGTAAATTAGTCTCGAGTTAAAATACCGTAAGTCTTATTTTAGAATACTTATTTTTTGCGCTATAAAAAAAATTATCTTAAAAGAATTTTTACCTGAAGATAAGCATTTTTTATTATTTAACTGATGGTGCAGCTAATATAAAAAATTTATCAAAGCTATTAGGCCATGAACAAGTAACATGCACTGCACATGTAATTCATCTGCTTTTAACCTCAGATAACTTAAAAAAAATTCCAGAATTAATTTTACTGGTAAGCAAATGCAAAGAAGTAATAAAAGCTTTACATTTTAAGAGATATGCTATCAAATGAAATTGAAACTGTGAAAAATGAGGAGTTGTTCAAAAGAATTACAACTCATGTTGACCAGCTAATAGCTGATGAAGAGAATCCAATTCTGGATTTTGAAATTGAAACTGAAAATGGAACCATACTTCCACAAATACAGGTAACTAAACACTTCTAGATCTTCTTGACATACAAACTTCTTGACATACAATCTTCTTGACATTAATAATTAATGTCAAGAAGATTCTATGTCAAGAAGTCACAACAAGATTGAATAGTAAACAAATTAAAAATGAAAAAATTTATTCAAAAACAAAGTTACGTAAATGTCATGAGCACAGTTCTTTAAAAAAGTCACAACAAGATTGAATAGTACTCTTGAAATGATTGAATCTATCTTAGATTCACTCAAGTTGATACAGTGTTAATAAAAGTTGAAAAGTGTGATTTATGTTTTCTTACTGAAGATTTAGAACTTCTGCAGGAACTGCGCAATTTTTTATATCTATTTCGAGAACTGACTCTACTTGTTAGCAAGGGAACACCAAATTTGTCTTGCCTTCCACTTTTTGTTACAAAAATTAAAAATTATTGCATTGTTTAAGTCACAGATTCTTCTGCTATAAAACAATATAATAAATTAGTTAGAAAATGCATTGAGAAACAATTAGTTGTTACTAATTTAGTAGAATTAGTGTGTTGCTTTGATCCAGCAATTCCTGACATTGTTTTGATAAAGGAAAAATGTAAAATTTTGTTAAAAACAGCTATGACAAAATAAAATTTTCTTTATTTAGTTCAAACATTTTACCACAAACAGAAACCATAAATAAAAAAACTGATTTCTCTGCATCATACATTAAATAGAATCAAAATAGTAAAAAGCTCCAAAACAGCTCAGGATTTTCAAAAACTTTATTACAGGAAACTGCAAAATCTTTGCTAAATTCTGGAGCAATATTAAAGAATAACAATTGGTTGCATGCTGAAATAAATCTTTATCTTACCATTTGTGACAATCAATCACCAGCCTTGCAGTTTTTGAAAAATAATGCAGAAAAATTCCCTAGCCAAGGTAGAAGATATTTTTATTTTTGACATTAAACTAATACTAGTGACAAAAATAACAACAACTAAAATATACGGTTAAGATAAAAATATAGTCGAATCTATTTTTTTTAATAAATTTATATTCGTTGTAACTTTTTTGAAAAAAAAAGTTGTTTAGCATTATAAACATTAATCTTTTTTTTCTGAGAAGATTATTGTTGCTTATTTTATATAGTTTCTATTGTTGCAGGTTTATCTTGCATTGATCATTGGCAGTGTACCTGTGAATGCTTTTTTAGCACAACTGGTTTAATTTTGAACGGAAAGAGATCCTCCTTGGCACCATATAGAATAAATGCGGTTTGTTGTATACATTATGACTATCCAAATGCTGGTCTATGAGCTATTTTTTGGATAAGAACATTATTTATGTTTTTATTTCATTTTGATTACCTTTGTATTTCATATATGAATATTTATTATATGCAATGGTTTGGTTTGAATAGTGCAGTTAGTATTATACTTGTATATATGTCATTATCATACTATATATATATATATATATATATATATATATATATATATATATATATATATTTATATATATATATATATATATATATATTTATATATATATATATATATATATATATATATATATATATATATATATATATATATATATATATATATATATATATATATATATACACACATATATATATATATATATATATATATATATATATATATATATATATATATATATATATATATATATATATATATATATATATATATATATATATATTTAATATTTAAATAGCCAGCTAAGCAGCCAAAGAAACAAGTCAATTAGCCAGCCACAAAAATGTAGGCTAACCGCTCATGCCATCAGCTAGCTGGACGGAAATTTTTTTAGCCAGCCATGAAAGTAAAATTCCGTGGCTAGGAGGTCTATGTGTGTGCATTAAAGGAAACTATATCCTCTACTCCCTATTTCAAACATCTTTTTGTGTTTGCAAACTAAAATCTTTAGTCAGAATTTTAACTTTTTTATTGATTAGCTGGTTAATTATGATAAATTGAAAAATCAATATGCGTACTCTTAAACTGAACCCTCCCTCTTCCTCCCATACGCTTTCATACGCTTTTTAAAGACCAACTCCCTCCCCCCTATGAGCGTACATATTTTATGGACGATCCCCTGCCAATTACATTGAAAATTGGTAAAACTATATTAAGTGAACCAAATCGCAATTGAATTGAACAAACATTAGAGTATTGGGAAAAAATTATCTAATAGCATTCTAAACATGAATAACAAACATGTTAATGATAAGCAAATTCTAAGTAACTCAAAAATAAATTTTACTGAATTAACTTATGACAAGTTTGTTTAAAAAATTTTTTGCTTAAAAAATTTTTTAGTTGGTTCAAAATAAAGAAGTTGTCTCTTAACATTGATGAAACTAAATGGACACTTTTTCACCCATGCTCATAAAAACAGATTGCCAACTCTATTACCTGACCTTTTTGTTGACAATATAATTACTAAAAGAGAGAAAGTTGTAAAACTTTTAGGAATGTACATTGATGAAAAGCTATCCTGGAAAAATCACATTGACAGTACCTCCTCAAAAGTGGTGAATCAATTGGTTTTATATATAAAGCAAGAGACATACTAAGCAAACAAAAATTAACACAGTTATACTAATTCTTTATTAATTGCCACATCAACTGTGCAAATATCGTATAGGGTAGCAATAATAAAACAAAACTTAAATCTCTTTATCATCATCAGAAACATACAACTTGCGCAATAATTTTTAAAAACCGTTTTACTCTAAGCCCCTTCTGAAAGAAATGAAAATCTTAAATATTTACTATCTAAACGTTTATAACATTTTATGTTTAATGTATAAATATAAAGAAAAATTATCTCTTTATGTATTCCAAAATCTTTGTGTTTTAAAACCCAGAAATAAATATGATTTACTGATAATTGTCTTAAAACCCAAAAATAAATATGATACACTGATAATCATCTTAATGCCCTTTTTTGTCAAATAAAGCATAATCAATTTTGTATTTCTTTTGTGGTCCATATCTATGGAATAAAATAGTTATACCTAATATCAATTTTTTTATTAATTTGACTTTTAATAAAACATTTTAATCAAAAGTTAAAAAAAGTTATTTTTTCATTGGAAAACATCTTTATCTATGTCTAAAAATTAAATTTTATTAGTTTGGTTTTAAATTTATTAATGTATTCATTTGTAATGTTTAAAACTTCATGAAAATTGTAAATTTATACTATTTAAATACTGTTGAAATTATAAATTGTAAAGGGCTTTGTGATTTAATTATTCAATCATTTGTTTATATGTTATGTATAGTAAAAAAATGTTATTGTAAAAAAAAAAAATTATAAAATAAAATAACACAGCCTTTTTAAAGTAGTATTTTTTAATAATTTTATTAGTAAGAAAAATTTATAAAAAAAAAAAAAAGCATTTTACACAATTCTTTGTAAAAATACAAAAAAAAAAAAAAAAAAAAAAGCTAATTAAATCATTGCATTATAACAAGGTTTTATTTTAACTTAATCATAATTTTAATGAAATTATTCTTTTAAATAAATAATCATTTAACTTAAAATTAATTTTCAAGATCTTAAAAAAGACCTTTTCAAGACCTTGAAAAATAATTTCAACTGTTTAAATTTATTATAAAAATACATGCCTACTGAAAAGAATTGAATATAACATTTAATTTTTAAAAAATGCCTTTATTTAAAACGATCAGGTTTTATTTTTTTAAATTTATACAGCATAAAAAAAGTATAATAACAATACTAAAAAAAAAGATTTAACAAATGAAAGAATACCAGCAAATGAAGCTCCTTTAACAAAATCATGATCAAGCCAAAAATTATTGAATTCTTTTTTTTTTGGAATGTCTTTTTCACTAGCTTTATCTTTACACTTTTTCATTACAGACTTCTCATAAGAAGTTAGCTTATTCTCATTTTTCTTTCTTATAAAAGTTTTTTCTCTGTGTTCACAATAAGCAACAACTGTTTTTACCAAAGAATGACACAAAAATCGATCCAAACAAAACACAATAACAGGTAGCATGGAATTTTTTTCCAATGTTTTAATCAAACTCATGAATGTTCTTTTTAAATAATCATCTTCGTTTAAATTTAAATCTCTTTTGCGCACTTTAGTTGATTTTAATTTAGTTTCTGACTCAAGTAACATTTGCTGAACACCTTCAAAATGTTCTCTTTTTTTGCTCCAGCTAAAATACTCTTTTTTTAACTCACTTTCATATAACCTAACTTCATCCCTAGTTAGAAACTTTTTATTGACAAAAAAATGAGTTGGAGATAAATTTTCCAAATCAGGTTTGATTTTTTTCATTGCATCATAAAGTTTTAAACATTCTCTTGGCGATAAACTAATATGTTCTGGGATTCCTTCTCCAATGACAGCTGATAATTTTAGTGTACAAATTGGATGAATGCTCTGAAGGTTTCCTGACACTGGATAATCTTCTGAGCTCTCTGGAATGAAGACATAGTTTTCTAAATCAGAATATCTATTTTTCACAATAACTAATTCAACTTCGTATGACAAATTATCTCTTTTACTGCCTAATATTACTTTATTCTCTTTTTGAAAGTTTTGAATATCTTGAAGCCAACTATGAAGAACTTCAGGGTTTGCAACTGTTGCTGAAAGTGCAAGAAACGGGCATGAGATAATACATAATAAATGTTCCCATGTCTCAGCATCAGCATCAGCACCAATACAGTGAATCTCATCAAAGATAACATATTTTATCTTTTGAGACCATGCATAGGTTTGGATGGATAATAGAAGAATTTCAAGACATTGTGGTACAGTAACGAGTATTTGACAATTTTCCACATCATGACTATAATCTCTTGTGAATACCCCACAAATTGTCTTTCCAGCAGGCAAATCATTTTTTGTAAATTTACTTTTTACATAGGCATGTACCTGATTGACAAGCGCTTTTGTTGGAGAAACGTAAACTACAACATCATCATTACTACTTCTCAATATTCTTTCCATGCAGTAATATGATGCATATGTTTTACCTGAACTAGTTGGAGCAATTATTAAAGCAGATTTATTATTATCAACAGCATCAAATAATTTTCTCTGCCAGGTATCAGGAATAAAGTTAGAAATTCTAGGATCAGGATCATTGCGTTCTGTTCTTGACAAAAAGTGACCCAAATACTTTAACTGAAATTCAATATGACATTGTGACTCTGCTTTAGGAGGTTTCTTTAGAGAATCTAAACTGAGCAATTTTAAGAGATTAAAAAATCCAGCTTCATGTAAAGCTTTTGCAACTGCTCTTTTTTCACTCAATGAAAGTATATTCCAATATTTGCTGAAAAGTTTTGAAATGATTAAAAAAAGGTTTATAGTGCAATTTATATGATTTGAATCTTGATGATTTATTTGGTTTGAATCTTCATTATGCAACAACTTTCTTAATATTGATAGCTTTTTGACTTCAAGTTTGATCTTAAACTGATCAGTACAAAAACTTTTTTCATTTTCTTGAATAAATTGTAGAGCCTCAGAATAATCCAAGCCTAGAATATGATCTGCAACTTTTTTCCACTGATCACTATCCTTTTTTTTTTGTTCTTCAAGTTTTTTCAACTTATTCTGTTCAATAATTAGTTGTGCTTTTCCAATGATCTCCTTTGTATTAGAACTTCTATGCTGTTGTTTTAGCTTGCTATTTTTGTTTTTGTCTTCTAGAACAATTAATGTTTGCTCATTAATTCCTAAGCTTTCTCCATACATTTGAAGGTACTTAAAAAATTTACTGTAATTTCGCTGTTCTCTTTGTTGTTCTTGTCTTTTCATTTTCAACTCGCTTTGTTTAGTCACTTGTTTTATTTCTATTAAAGTTTCCTTTTTCTTTAATTCCATTTTCTTTTTTTCTTGCACTGAGAACATTTCAAATTCATCAATCAAAATTTTGCAGTGCCAATGATATATATCCTCAAATTCATCAAAATCTGGAAGCAATTCAGCTAAGAATGGATCATCTTTATCCAAAACCTCCATTTGATTATAGATGTTACCTGCATACAATGTAACAAGCTTACAATCAACTGGAACAATCTGAATTAAAAAACTCCTTGAAACTGGAGTTGAAATTATTTCAAGAGAGAGTAGAAGAGATAGAAGATTATTATTTGAAGCAGAAAATGATTCATTAATTCTCTCACAAGAATGTTTAATTCCAAGATCACAAGGAAGTGTTGACTTCAATTTGCCGCCACACTTCTCATCAAACTTATCAATAATATTCTTATAGTTGAATAAAATATCACTGTCAAATAAAAGTTCACCTTGATTTAACTGTTTACAGTATATATTACAAAATGTAGCAAAGAGGTTACCATCCCAGATATCACAAATAACTTCATTTTTTTTCATTGCGCCAGCCTCTCTTCTTTGTTGAACAACTTTACTCAGTATTTGCTGGAATTCTGTTATCAAAGACTCAAAGTCAACATTATGTTTGACTTTAGGTAATGCTCTCTTCTGCAAAGGTAAATTTTTTTTAACTAAAACATAGAGTAAAACAAGTTTGGCAAAGTCTACATAATTTTGAAATAATAAATATTTCTTCATAAACACATATGCTGCAACAAATTCTGATTGAATATCATAAAACTCTGAAACATCAACCTGTAACATGACCTGAAACCCGATTTGTTTCTCATAAAAAGCATTATATATCTTCTGTACCATGGCCTCTCTAGCTTTTTTTTTGTGTACATTTTTTGATAAAATATGATATCCTTTTAAGGATGACATTCCAACAACAATATCGTTAATAAATGCTATGTTTATTTGCAGAGCCAAAACTTTTTCCATTTGCAAAAATAAACTTAGATACTGACAATTTTTAAAAACGTCAAACATCAGAAAAAAGATAGGAATAATATTCTGAACCCATGCTTCAAAAGAAGGATCCCAAGCATTTTGAAACTGATCTAAAATAGTCACATTTAATTCTTCTTTAAGATGAAAAATCAAAACTTCTCTTAATAGTTGATTTTGTGGTTCATTTACAAAAAGAGAATCTCTAAAGAAAACAATATGGAATTTTCCCCTACGCCTGACAAATGTTTGCAGCTGCCGTTCTATAAGATAAACACAATGAAGTGTCTGCCCACCATGAGTTTTACTTAAGTTAGCATCACATATTGCTGATAAAAGCAAACTATCACCATCAATAAGAAAAATTCCAGAATCAAATTCATGAGAAAGGTTACACATTTGAATCCAGTTGGCTACAAACATTGGTTTATCATAAACAGTGTCATAATTATTCAAATTTTCTTCAGCAGAAGAACATTGTTTGTCATACTAAAAATGAGATAATTTAATTAAACTATTTGTTTTTATGTAAACATTTTTTTTTATATATACTTAAATTTGTAATTTGATTATATATTAATATTAATAAATATTTAGAATATACACAAGTACACATATATCGCTCTTTTATGTTATATATGTTCTAATCTAATTTTAACTTTTATAACAAGACTATTATTTTCTTATTTTGCATGATAAGAACTGTTTTGTTTCTGTACATCAAATACCAACCAATATAAACTATATAAAAACTCAGATAATCAATTATAGTAATAATAATATTTTTAATATAAAATAAATCAAAATATTTTTTATTTATAAGAGAAGCTGCCCTCAATAAAACCCTAATTTGATGTATGCACACACTGCTGAATCTAGCCAAAACATTTGATGTATGCACACACTGCTGTCTAAAAAGTCATAATGTGCCATAAAAATTTTTTTTGAGTAACAAATGTGTAATTGGCAACTATTCCTAATTCAAATAATGAATCAAATTTAATAAATTATTTCTTTTTCACAACTTTTTATTTTGAAATCAATATTATCTTCCAATTCAAAATTGAGAACAGCTTGTTTTGCAATCAGTATTAACAGATGCAAAAAAAAATTTTTTTTAGTGAGGAGTGAAAACAGTACTTTTTCATAGCACACTAAGATGCCCAGGCGGAAATAGACTTTGTACCAAAATATGAAAGGTTGAAGATCTTAAATTCCTGAATGTTCTTTAGGTTCATAAAAAGGCGTGTCTGAGTGCAGAAGACAAGATCTACACAAGAAAAGTAGAGCATAAAATAAAGAGAACCAAGGTCTTATTGAGGTTGAAAATAGATCAAAAGCAAAGCAAGCAAAACCTGTTTTCAAAGATTGGTGAATCCTCAGGTCAATAATCAAGAGATGAAAGTACTGATAGCAGTTCTGTTGATTTGCCAGAAGACCAGATATTTGTTTTTTATCACATTCCGCTGCAGATGCATCAGTGAATCATCTGCAGTTATAGAATGATCTCATTTGGTATAAAAGTATTGATCCAGACACGGCACAAGCGACTGTGACAGCACATAACAAACATCTATGATATCTCACTGAAATGATAGCACTGTTTGGGCTTTTCTCCACACTCTTGTCAGACTCCAAAAAGAAGCAAGTCATTCACCAACTTCTTAAGCATGAAACCAATACCACTAGCTTTTATCAAAAGTGCCATTATGTCCACAGCTGTCAACTTTTTCACCAAGGCAGCTGTCATCTTTGATTAGTGCAAAGTCTTGGAAGCCTTTTAGGCTCTTATATGTTGGATGAACTTACCACCAACATAATGGGTGACTGATGCAGCATATAATGAAATTCTCATGTTTGTTTGCAATTGCAGAGTCGTTTATAAAATAGCTGAGAGAGCAGTCAAGCTCATCACAGACTTTGCTGGAACAATTACAATTACAAAGTTCTCTTCTTGAAATTTGAGATATATCTCAAATTTCAAGAAGACAACTTTGTGTGATTCTTCGGCCTAGTTTTACTTTATTGGTGCAGTGCACACTTCTTGGTGTTTGTAGTATGAGTAAGCAATTTAATTAATTACTTAAATAATTTGGAAAACAATGAAATTTCTTGGGTCTAATACCACTAACCCTGTGGCACTAAAACCCATAACTTTTGTATTTCACAATTTCTTCTTGAGACAGTCAACTTTTTGCTTTATTTTCCAGACAATCCTAATCAACTACCCTCACTTCTGATTTGTGTCTTGTTGCTGACCTCAGCTTGTTTTCAGGTTCTCTTTCTTCACCTTTGGGAGGTTCAGACCATCTTTATAAATCATTTATCTCATACTTTTTTTCACAATCACTCACTCTCTAACACTCACCATCCTATAATAATAATTTTTTACAACATTTGAAAATGAGAGGTCAGATAATACCATTTTTAAAGCTACTTGTGAAGAATTTGATGATTAACTAACTAAGAAGGGGATAGAAAGACCTGTTGTGTGATTATCAAACAGACAAAGTTCACAATTCAGTTATACTGGTTTAATGTACTTCCTTTTAAAACAAATTTAATTATTTATTTCTCTTCCGAATACTACGGACAAAACTCAAACAGGTTAATTAAAACCTTCATCGCAAATACAGAAGTGCTAAGAACTCTCTTTTCACTCCAATTCAATCAACAATCAATCAAGTTAAATGTTAACTTGAAGCAACAAGAACCTGAAGCAACAATTTGAGCAGGCTGCTGCATGCATTTAGATAGAAGAAATATTTTCAACTTTTTTAAAATACCTGAGTTAGCCATTTCGTGTCCCGTTTTTGTTAATGATGTAAAACCTGTGATTATTTTACTAGCCATTTATTTCTCCAGCTCCAAAGGCTGTTTTTACAACAAACAGATTTAGACAATATTTATAATGAAAACAATAAAGAATAATAATCTTTTTTAATCTAATTACTTGTTGAAATCAAATGTTTTTGTTATGGTGACATTGTAGTAATAACCTGTTGTTATATAATTCTTATATTAAGCAGTCTATAACTGGTTTAGATGCCCAAACAATTGCTGTAGTGTTTAAATATTGTTTTTAGATAAACATATAAATATGTATTAAAAAAGTTAAGTAATTGAATTCAACCAAAATGTGTCGCAATACTGCACTCTTCTTTTTGATGATGATATATAGGTATATTAATTACTTGGTGAAAAAAACTTCTTTCTACATTTAGTCATTACCCAAAGGTGATAGAAAAACAATACTTTGCTAACTTAATCTAACTTAATCTATGTTTATATATATATATATATATATCAATATTTTGCTAATTTAATCTTAAATGAACTTTTTTCTGCAAAAAAAATTACTGAAACTTATTTTTAGTTATCATAATATCTTATATAACTTCAAGTTAGATTCCCACCACGTCCCTGGTAGTACCACGCTTAACTTTTCCGCAAAGCAGCCTTGTTTGTCAAGGTTCGTGTTTCGAAGTTATAGAATTGGGAGAAGGTTATAACCACAAGTAGCCTCCTCATCTGTAGTGGCCTTCTTGGCTTTGGGGAGGTAAAGTACAAATATATATATATATATATATATATATATATATATATATATATATATATATTATATATATATATAATATATATATATATATATATATATATATTATATATATATATATATATATATATATTTATATATATTATATATATATATATATATATATATATATATATATATATATATATATATATATATATATATATATATATATATATATATATTATATATATATATATATATAAAAGTTAAAAAAAAAAAAAAGATTTTGAATCTTTCACCAACTCTAAGGTTATTTAAACCAACATTGTGGTTTTTAAAGTGCGGGAGTATTTGTGGTAGGTATACCTGTAAGTAGAAAACTGGCATAAAACTGACTATAATAAAAAAAAATTCTTAATACTTCTGCGAAAAAACATCTAAATCAAATAACTCTTATTAAACAATAAAACAAGAAGCAAAACAAGCTTAATGATGCTGATAATTTTAAATAAACACTTTCAACCTTCCCCTCATCCTTAATATTAAATCACATTCGCAACTTTCTCTAATTTTAACAAGTCTCAATCAAGCTCTGGTCAGTTATCATCATAAAAAAAGATTTTGTTTAGTATCAAACAATCATTAAAAAATTATAATAAAAGAAGCAAAAACAAAAACAAAGTAAAAATAAAGATCTTTGTTTATGTTTTTTAGGCTGATGAAAAAACTTTGAGGAAAAAACTTACAAAAATTATAAATAAAAAAAATTAAATAAAAAAATATACATCAGAATCTTTGCTTGATAAAAAATCCTCTTCACTTATTGAATCGTCCTCACTGTCAGTAATCTAAAATAAATTAGTTGTATTAGTTTAATTTATTTTACTTTTAACAAAACCAATAAAAAATGTTAAAGATTTTAAAATAAGTTAAGCTTTTTTAAATTAATTTAATATACTTTTTATTTATAATATATCATATAAATAAAAAGCTCATAAACATTTTCAATACTAAAACTAACTAAATTTATAACTACTTTCTTCATTTCAATTTAATATAATTTTTAGGCTGATAAAAAAATTTCAGGTGAAAATGCGCAATAATTAAAAATAAAATAAAATAAAAAGTTAATTATGTTTTAAGAACCAACTCTTTCTTAAATTAGTTTTATAAGGTAATGTTATAATGATCATTATTGGATGATGATTTTTTATAATGATTGTTATCGGATGATTTTTTATAATGATTGTTATTGGATGATTTTTTATAATGATTGTTATTGAATAATGCCATTGGATTAAATGTTTTTATAAGTCTTAATATCATAATGATTGTTATAACCAATGTTTTAATGATGATTATTGGATGATGATTTTTTATAATGATCATTATTAAATGATAATTTTAGATAAGTTTTAGATTTTAGTTTAAGTCTCTAAAGATAGAAATCTTTAGAGACTCTAACTTTGGAGAAAACATTTAAAAGAAAATTATAAGCAACATACTTAACGAACAATTATACAAATTATATTTAAGCAAAAATCAGAATACTTTCTTATCTATTATTCTTTATCTAGTTGATAGGCTTAAGTTTGAGGTAAGAGGGTATGATTTAAATTATTTTCCCTCCACACTAAAAGTTTGACAGACAACAATGTAAATACTTTCCCTCAACACTAAAAGTTTGACAGACAACAATGTAAATACTTTCCCTCCACACTAAAAGTTTGACAGACAACAATGAAAATACTTTCCCCTCAAAACAAAATTATGAAGGAAAATAAATTATTGAGCTATTATTGTTTTTATAGCAATTTTAAAAGTTTTAATTCATAACTTTTTAAAAATATCTTAGCCACAATTTGCTGCAAACATTTTATTAATTTAATATTTCAATACAAAAATTTTACTTTTTTTAATGTTATTTTACCTCCAAAAGGCCAAGAAGGCCACTAAAGTTGAGGAGGCTACATTAGTTGTGGTTGCATGCTTTTTTCAAATTTTTAACTCCAAAAACTAAACCTTGACTAAAATGACTTCAATAAAAATAATGAATAAAATGACTAAATAATGAAAGCTTTATTTAAAACCTAACACAATTTTTTAACTACATAATTAGCTTAAAAATTGTTTTAAAAAGATGTATATTTTAAGCTCAATAAACTTTTTATTGTGGAAACAAATCTATGGAGAAACAAAATTTAAGCTAATAAAGCTATTAATTTGCGTGAAGAAACAAACTTTAAGTTATTAAAGTAATTAAAAGAATGTTTGAAAAATTATTTTTAAACTATGTTTTAATAATTTAATCATTTTAATAATTATTTTTATTAAAGTCAAAAAAAAAAAAACAATATGTAATATATGGAAAATATTATTAGCATTCTTTCTTAGACAAAATCACTGTACAAAGATGAAATAACAAAAATAAAAGTTACAAAGGCGAAATTTTTTTTTTTTGTTCTAAGTAAAAAAGTTTTTTGATTACTTGACCTTCCAAAGGACCAAATAAAATGCTTTGCCTTAACGAATATTTGAATAAAGTGATTTCCTGTATATTTCCTGTTAGGTCAAAATTAGGCTGATATGAGATACTAGTTCCAGTTAAGCCAATTTTTTTAATCTTTATTTAATGGTAAGTATAATTAAAATTACACAATTATAGTAATGTTTCATTGAAAAAAGTAACAGTTTGTATTCTTGCAATACAGTCAAAAGAAAATATTTGAAAAAGTTTAGCGACACAATGACTTCCTTATTATTTGGTAATAAAATTGCATTTAAATGGTTGTGGTTATTTATTAAGGAATTTACTAAACTATAAAATAATTGTTATTTCAACAGTTTTATCGTGATTTACTTTTTAACGGTTTAATTATAGCATTATTATATGTCTGATAACAACAAAACAACAATCTCATCTATTCAGATCTAAATACAACAAAAAAACTAAGAAATTATTTGGCTACAGTTTTTTATGGTTTATATGAAGTACCTTGTTTTTAAAAAAAAGATGTTAATATATTTAATTCCCATACAAAAATTTTGGGTTATTCAAAGAAATTTATCTCAACTGGACGAAAAAATGGTTTACCCTAACGAAGTTAAAGTTATCCAAAATTCTACTTAAATAGAGAACTTTGAAACTAATCAATTAGATGATGGGACCAAATAAAACAATATAAAATGGCTTGAGTTAATCTTGTTTGACTTATCAGGAATTAATATCTTTAATTAATAGAATACAGACAATAATATGAATAATAATAATAAAATAATATAAAAAATTAAAAAACTATTAAAATGAAGGTAAAAAGGCAGACTGTTAGATACTGAAAGCAAATATAATTTAATGAAACTTTGATAAATCAGGTCATACAATTTTAAATGTTTTCTTAAATAAACAATAATATTTACATTTATGTAAACCATTGTATTATACAATATTCAAAAAAACATTACATTAGTAGTTCCAAAGCGAAATGAATCCTCAT